TTGGCTACCATGCACAACAACACTAGATTTTGTACTCTCCAGTTTTAGTAAATCAACCCCAATCAGTCTATGCTGCATGCAAATGTGTCGACGAGGAGAATGCTGACAGGAGTAGAGAGCAAAAAGCATAGTTGATGACTTAATGAAATGCTGTTTTTATATTGTCTAACCTGCTGGCTGTGGGCAGGAAGGTGACATTGCTATTATTCTTAATTATGTACCTGGAGTATAGCTTTAAAGTAAATGTTCCATAACACTCAAAGTGCATCATGGACAGGCTTATATACTAAGAATTTAACTAAATACATACTTTGCCTTTGCATTCAACACATACATCTATAAGTTTGCTCTTCTGGGATTTCTGTTTTAAGATAACATATAACTACTAACAACTAAGAACTTAAAACAGCTAAGGCTACATTTGTATATATATATATATATATATATATATATATATATATATATATATATATCAAAATTTCACTAGAAAAAAAAATAGTCTTTGTTATCCAAAAAAAATGTTTGGTCACTGTCAGATCTAAAAACCAAGCACCTTTAAACCAACACTGCTAATACGTCATGTGAAAAAAAAATATTGCACCATTTAAATGTGGCGATATTATTAGTGGAAAAATGCTAAAATAGAATTCTTAAATTATATGACTCTTTAAAATTAATCAGTATTCATTATTCCCCTTAACATCTAGCTGTACTAATTCCTAATGTGCACAGAAAGCTGCATGTAACACAGAGAACATGTAATGAAACAAATCAAAATCAATTATTTTTATTTACTTATCCAAAGAAATAGCTAAACTGAAAAGTGGGTCTGCCAGTAGGATTAACACAGCAGGTTTTGTTTTTCTAGTTTCCCCTATAAAATAGTATTATCTGTCTAACAGTCCATCTATTATTTTTCACACTTCCTTTAAGGTGACAACACTGTTCATTCTATAGTGACATCACATTTGTCACACTGTGGACAGGGTATTCATAAAGGGATATATTGTAGAAGGACTTTAGGTAAATGACAAATTAAACAAGCTAACATTTTTTAAGCAGACAGTATACAGCAGCAGTATTATATTTTTTTAAAGGTTTAAATCATATAAATAACTTCTGACCATTGTAATCACTTCTGTCAATGTTAAATGGTTTGTCCCAACTCCTGAAACTATCACTTTTGCTGGATAGCTTGGCATGCTAAAGAAATTGAAAAACAATGGATTCACTGGCAGGATCAACAGGTAATAAAACTATGTTACAAGGGACTTCGAAAAACAAAAACTGCTGCGTTAATGCTATCGACAGACAATCATACTGTATATGTCCTTTGTATTTTGAACAAGTTCCATTTAAAGACTGGCTATGAATTAATTAACAAATCATGATATTTATTATAATGTTGCAGGTTTGATTACGAAAAAACAACAAAACCAACTTTATATTAATTGACCCATTATCCCCTGCACACCAGAGAAAGGAGTGAAAGGTTCTGCACCGAGAGTAGCTCAGACTCAATTGCTTTGCACAACACTTTCACCTAAATATATTTCAGGCACTGGTGGCTGGATAGGGTGGCATTCAGGCATAATAACAGGAGCAAAAAGGGACCTTGGCAGCTGGGTATAGCTCATTATTTGTCCAATAACAGGGTGTTGTTATAAATAGCTGCATAGCAGGCTCTGAATAGCAGTGTTATACTCTGGCCATATATTGTGGCAGAGATGGGTAAAAACACAGGTTGGAAAAGAATTACAGATATTATGGTAGGCTGTTTTTCCAATTATGCAATTATTTGCTGGGGTTATGGTTTAATTTGTGAATAAGACAATTTAAGATGTATAAATTTGAGGACTAGCAGTGCAATGAGAGTATATATACATTCATTATCAGATTAGTAAGAAAGTGAGAAAATGGAAAAAAATTGAAAAATGAAGAAAAACGGGGAAATAAATGTGGGATCATCCAACTGTTTCCACTGGTCTCTGCTCTTTAAAGTTTAGTATATTCAACTTTACAGTGCAGACTTTAGATCCACGTTATTGTTTTGATAAGGTGTTCTGTTTTAGCTATTGTTATGAGATACTATAGAAGGCACCATCACTCTCTATACTACAAAAATGACACATTAACAATAATTTCTCCTATCTAAAATAAGTAAAAGAAAAAAAAAAGAAATGTTCTTTGAAATCTGAAAAATTTGGTTACTCTTGATCAAATGCCTTACAGTTACCAAACCACTAGAAACCAAAAAGATACATAATTCCCATACATGATTCACAGGTTAATCATGTGTACAGTTTGCATCATCCCATTATAATTATCATAAGGTTAACTCCCTGTATGCTATAATACGGGGAGTTAACCATATGTCCTGCTTCCACTACTGCCTGTTAGAAAAATTGTTTTTTCCCCTATAATTCAACTGCCTAATATACTGCATGATAGATGTTGATTTATTTTGTATCAAATGCAATAGCTCAAATAATAAACCAAATAGCTGAAAATATCTTCTTGAAATAATGACCTAGTTATGATGTATATCAGATGCATCAACTGTCCGAGGAGGTGAGACTAGAGAAACCTGCAGTGGCAACTATCTAGAGAAGATTGGGAGCACAATGTTATACTAGGAAAAAATAGAACATCATAGAAATACCTGTCAAATTATTACAGTTACAGTATTGCTAGTTCCTTGGTTAGTATAATAGGCAAAAAATGGAAAAGTAAAATCACAATGACTGCCATCTGGTTAATATTTTGCATTGCCTGATACATTTTGCTGACTATCTAACTTCAGGGTAAGAATTTACATACAGCATTTTTTCTTAACAGAAAAATACAGTAAATCTTCTCTCTGCTAGGTGGCATCAGCTCAGCATAGAAATATAAAGATCACTCTCACACCATGAACAATAGCCTAAAGACATCAGATTTCAGAAATGCTACATGGAGCATATTTGGGAGTTGGCCACACTTCTCTATGCTCATATGATGGAAAAAAAATCACATTTTATTTTTTATGTCGTGTGAAGCAGACGGAGGACAATTTGCATTTTTCTTTAACAAATTCTGAGGTTAAAATAGTTTTTCTGACTTTACCAGTAATCTGTTGGAAAAGAACCACCCAAAATGTCAGATAGGCAACTACCAGTTAGCCAGGCCTGACATGGCCCAACAAAAGAGATGGGTCCATTGAAAATATTGTATTTAACATTCTGGCCATGTAAGGTACATTACATTTTTTTACAACTCTCACCTGCACATTATCCATCCAGCTTAATCTAAGATCCGTCTCCTACAGTTCATCTACGATGTGTCTGCTGCAGTTCCTAGCAGTGTGCATTTAATGATGAGCAGATGTCTCATTGTGTGGTGTTCCCCGAAGATAAATAATGATCCAGTATAGTTTGGGCAGGTAAAACCATCAATACTCCACATACAAGTTTGTCCTAAAAGCATCATAAACTCCCAAAGGTGCAGTCCACACTAACTTTCAACTTATTGTTTACTACACATAATGCAGGTACTATATCTTATCATAGATTGCTTTGAAGAATATTTCATCATTTCTATAGTAGGTTGAGGGGCCATGAATAGTAGCTGGTTTGCAATACAAAAAAATAGACCAAGAAATTAAAACACAATTTTTTAAAAAATGTTGTAATCAAAATATACAATTACACACAGTACGGACAGACATTCTGGCTTACTCAGTATATGTCAATCTTGTTTGTCATATTTGAATAATACCAACAGACTCATGGCTACATTTTACAGACTTTTGTTGGATCCACACATTGTCTGTTTTATATGCCATTGCAGGTTGACCCCTTTTTATGGTTTGTACTGGATTTACTCTATATAAGATCCCTCATCAAAAACTTGTTAATGGTAAAGCCCATTTTACATAAAGCAAGGTAGAGTATTATGACCAAAAAATAAATTGCATACATTTATATTAAAATACATCATTGTATACAAGTGATAGTATTTGGTGCAATGTTGTGTATTAACCAAAGAAAAGACATCATGGGCACAATTTTATGACAGCCGCATAACTACACTTCACCATCTCAGTGTACAGAAATCCCAAATCACATAATACCATAGCTCCACAACTTCTATCTGAAACAAAATAGTTGACTCACAGGGCAAAATTTATATTTTTGTTATTATTTTACTACCCTAGGTAATCACTTTTGACTTTTGTTGGTGTATAACATATGTTACCCTCTTTGGTTACTTTGTTTTCTGGGTTGGCAGCTTGGTTGGGTGAAATACTTGAGTTGAGAAAGGTGATAGCTTGTTAAGGACTCACTGAACTGAAATAAAGACATATGGTTAATTTAGGTGTTTACAGAATGGCATTGCTGTGAAATAAGATTTCCTTTTCAGTTTTAAAGGTTCGTGCTAAGTATCTTGTGCAAAGGAAGGGAACGCAGGTCACTAGTGATGTTATTAGTTTCCTTTCCTCTGCTGTATCTTGTACATTGGCATCAGTTCTGAAGCAGTAATCTTCATGATTCAGCCACAGTAAAAGGACCCATTAGCTGTCTGATTCAGACATATCATAAAGTCTGCGCCTGTTGCAAACTCCTCATAGGCACAGCACTGAAGTATGAATTCCACTGAGCATTTTGGCAGAATGCATGGATGTCAAGTGTGCTGTGTACAACAAGACAGAACTGATCCTCCTCCCCCTCTAAAGTTTATTCTTCCATGGACAAAGTAGAAAGGAGAGGAACATTTTTTTTCTTTTATTGCCATGCTCAAAAGGACCACAAAGTCTTTGTGGCATTTCAAAGTCCACTGAAGACAAATTAACTTGGCATTTCCCTCTAAGTTTTGTTTGTAAACAAGAGACTTCTGGCTGTAGAATACAAGTTTGGTTTGATGCCCTGGACCTCTTTGTAAGTTAAAATGGCTGAAGGGCATGAACAGTTGTTTAGGGGGTGATTTCTGGACTTTGTGCACACATTCATTTTGTATTTTATCTATGGGAACACTGGTGTTAATCCAGTATTGCAGGTCATGTTATCTTTTCCTGGAAGTCTCCTATCATTGAAAGTGTGCATGTTAATTACTGCGTCACTCTTCACCATGACAGGAGGCTGTGGCTTGTGTTTGACACGCCGTTGGCAGGTAAGGGATAGTCGGATCTCATCTGCCATTGTACTGCAGAAAGAGCGCTAAAAAAAGATATAAAATACAGTAAATAAGGTTCATATGTAATGAGAACACTTGTTTTATACAGACAATGTGGTCATACATGGTAGACATACAGTATGTATTTAATTAAGTGCAGAGTGGAAGCGATGCGTGCAATAATTAGGCAATGAACAGTTACCTAAATTAGTTAAGGTATCCAATAAAAAATAGGTACTACCAAGTATTAGAAGTACTTTCAGCAGCTTTATTGAAAAAACTATTTATGATCAATAACTGCTCCAATCTAGGTAAACACATCACCTGTTATTGCTGGTGAAGCATCTGTTATATATAACTGTTATATATACATATCCTGTATATCCTAGGACTTGTCACCTAGATGCAATAATACATTAAAACTTTACCTGTAACAAAAGGGTTGACATGCTTGCTTTGTAACAGTATAACATAGACCCAATCAGAGAGCATTACAGTATAGCTCTCTGGGGGAGCATGGAATGATCAAAGGACTATCAGGGTGGTGGCAAATCTTTTTTCTGGGATTTAAATTAATTTCTAATACCTTCTCTGATTTTACAGATAGAAATCTGCAACTTCTGATTCTGTTTCTTTTGCCAAGACCCTAAGCATGAACCCAGAAGTTCTTAGGACTGAGCCCAGGTGGGTTCAATAACTGCAAAGGCAGACTGCTGAACATGCACCAAATGATCCACCAGTTAGTTTGAATTTCCCATCTGATGCTAAGCAAGAGAAGAAAGGGGAGATTCTGTGGGTGAATTTGTGCATGCTTAAAGTGGAAGTAAAGGCTAACAATAATTGTTCTTAAAAATGTTCCCTCTCCCCCTCCCCTTACCTTTCCTGTCTACCCTGTATGGAAAAATACCTGTGTATGTATCTATTTCTAATTTCTAATCTGCTTTGGTCTAGTCATGTGAACCTGCATCAACTGTTCCTCTGTGTCAGTGAGCGTCTACTGCAGGGGAGGAGGGAGCAGTGACAAAGTCTGGGCCATGAGAGCCTATGGGTGGTGTTATATCTCTGGGAATTCACAGCTATTGATAAGCACTCCCTAGAACAGGGGAGCCAAAGCTGCAGAATCATGTGACTGGACCAGACCAGATCCCATATGATGCTAAAAAAGAGAAGAAAGACAGGGAATGGGAGCCATCACTACAGAGGAGACATCAGCTTGCATGGCTCTTGCTCCCTAGTACAGCTCCAGCTTTACAAGTAGTCCCTCTGCATTGTACTCTGTTTGATGCTCTGGGATGGCATGTCAGCAAGCCCTGACCGTGATCTATCACTCACCTGGCCAAGATCTACTGGTAGATAAAGATCTACTGGTTGCTGACCCCCGGAGTAGGTGAATTTTAGCATGCTTAAAGTGGAAGTAAAGATTAACAACAACTGTTGGTAAAAATGTTCCCTTTTCCCTCCTCTTACCTTTCCTGTCTACCCTGTATAGAAAAATACTTGTGTATGTAGCTATTTCTAATTTCTAATAGGCTCTGATCCAATCATGTGATCCTGCAGCTCCTGCTCCTCTGTATCAGTGAGCTGCTACTGTAGGGGAGGAGGAAATGGTGACAAAGACTAGGCCATGGGAGCCTATGGGTGATGTTATGTCTCTGCGAATTCACAGCCATTGCTGAGCACTCCCTAGCACAGGGGAGCTGAAGCTGCAGAATCATGTGATTGGACCAGAGCAGTTTAAAAATAGGTAAGTACACATTTTTATTTATACAAGCCAGAGTAGGAGGAAGGGAGAGGGGACATTTTTAAGAATAGTTATAGTTAGATTTTTTTTACACTCTAAACATTTATTGCAAATTGCATGCAGATAAATTCACTAAATACTATTATTTATTTCAGAATTACAGGTGAAACTCGAAAAATTAGACTATCGTGCAAAAGTTCATTTATTTCAGTAATGCAACTTAAACGGTGAAACTAATATATGAGATAGACTCATTACATGAAAAGCAAGATAGTTCAAGCCGTGATTTGTCATAATTGTGATGATTATGGCTTACAGTTCATGAAAACCCCAAATCCACAATCTCAGAAAATTAGAATATTACATGCAATCAATAAAACAAGGATTGTACATAGAACAATATCGGACTTCTGAAAAGTATAAGTATGCATATGTACTCAGTACTTGGTTTGGGCCCCTTTTGCAGTAATTACTGCCTCAATGCGGCGTGGCATGGAAGCTATCAGCCTGTGGCACTGCTGAGGCGTTATGGAAGACCAGGATGCTTCAATAGCGGCCTTCAGCTCTTCTACTTTTTTTCGGTCTCATGTCTCTCGTCTTTCTCTTGGCAATGCCCCATAGATTCTCTATGGGGTTCAGGTCAGGAGAGTTTGCTGGCCAATCAAGCACAGTAATCTCATGGTCATTGAACCAGGTTTTGGTGCTTTTGGCAGTGTGGGCAGGTGCCAAGTCCTGCTGGAAAATGAAGTCAGCATCCCCATAAAGCTTGTTTGCGGAAGGAAGCATGAAGAGCTCCAAAATCTCCTGGTAGATGGCTGCGTTGACCTTGGACTTAATGAAGCACAGTGGACTAACACCAGCAGATGACATGGCTCCCCAAATCAACACAGACTGTGCAAACTTCACACTGGACTTCAAGCATCTTGCAGTGTGTGCCTCTCCATTCTTCCTCCATACCCTCGGTCCTTGGTTTCCAAATGAGATGCAAAAGTTGCTCTCATCAGAAAAGAGGACTTTGGACCACTGAGCAACAGACCAGGTCTGTTTTTCTTTAGCCCAGGTAAGACGCTTCTGACGTTGTTTGTTGTTCAGGACAAGAGGAATACAAAGCCCATGTCCAGGATCCGTCTCTGTGTGGTGGCTCTTGATGCACTGACACCAGCCTCAGTCCTTTCCTTGTGAAAGTCCCCAACACTTTTGAATGGCCTTTTCCTGACAATCCTCTCCAGGCTGTGGTCATCCCTGCTGCTTGTGCACCTTTGTTTTCCACACTTTTCCCTTCCACATAACTTTCTATTAATGTGCTTTGATACAGCACTTTGGGAACATCCAACTTCTTTTGCAATTACCTTTTGAGGCTTTCCCTCCTTATGGAGGGTCTCAATGATGGTTTTCTCCACAACTATCAGGTCAGCAGTCTTTCCCATGATTGTGATTCCTACTGAACCAGACTGAGAGACCATTTAAAGGCTCAGAAACCCTTTGCAGGTGTTATGGCTTAATTAGCTGATTAGAGTGGGACACTTTGAGCCTAGAATATTGCACCTTTTCACAATATTCTAATTTTCTGAGATTGTGGATTTGGGGTTTTCATGAGCTGTAAGCCATAATCATCACAATTATGACAAATCATGGCTTGAACTATCTTGCTTTGCATGTAATGAGTCTATCTCATATATTAGTTTAACCTTTTAAGTTGCATTACTGAAATAAATTAACGTTTGCACGATATTCTAATTTTTCGAGTTTCACCTGTATAAGCACATGTACACATGTACACGTGTACAAATACTAACCAGCAATGCAGATTTTTTTTTTCTCTAATCTGTAGGCAGGGCAGGTTTACAAGCATGTGTGTGCAGGCTCATTAAAGTGATACTAAAGGTTTTTTTTTCTTTTTTTTTTTTTTTTTAATAAAAACATTATACTTACTTGCTCTGTGCAATGGTTTTGCACATGCATTCCCAATCCTCCTCTTCCTGGGTCCCCTGCTTATGTTCCTGACTTCTTTCTCTTGCTGAGTGCCCCCAGAACTGGCTGCTTGCTCTGGGGGCACTTGTGCATACTTGCTCCTGAACCACCATAAGACACACAAAGTGTGGCTCAGCCCTGCCCCACTGGCTGTGATTGACAGCCTAAGGCTCCCTCTGCTGTGTCTCAGTCAATGAGGAGGGGGAGATTTGGGAGAGCCATTGCATTACTGAAATAAATGAACTTTTGCACGATATTCTAATTTTTCAAGTTTCACCTGTATTTGTTTCAGCCATTTCATGTCAATGTGTCTTTCTGTTGCAAAGGTATACTCAGTACCTGCAAAAGATGAAACTAGCAGAGAAACCTGCCTTAAGTCGCTCATACTTTTATAAAAGCCAAGCAAGTCGGCTTTAACATTTTGAGACATATGTATGGTTTTTTTTTAAATATATTTTGTAGTATGTATGTATTGTGCATCATTGTGGCAATGTGTGTATAAGGTGGACAGATTAAGGAAACAAACCTGCTCTCGTTCAGCAGTTTTCCTTAGTTTGTATATAAATTCTGCCACTGCGACGACTACAGAAAGGATAAGTCCCGCTGCTAACACAATGAAAATGCCTCCCATGTTTTGGATGCCTAGGGCACTGGCCTCCTTATTTTTTTCCTCTGGGCAACCTCCGGCTCTCCACCACCTTTCTTTCATCTTGTGAATTTCATCAGACTCCTGCAGTTGAAGAATGGCAATGCTGATCCTGTCTCGATATGGAGATCCTAAGAAGAGAACAATCACAATGTGGGTTTTCAGCTTACAAAACAGAACAATTACTGAAGAATATTTGGTCCAAATGATGTGGGCATCTTGGTCACGGGAGGGGGGGGGGGGTTGGGTTTAGATAGCTCCTGACCAGTTACATATAGGGATTTTAGCAGTGTCCATCTGTTTATAGTCTAAGTGCCTTTCTTGTAGAAAATCATATCTCATCACCCATTAAATAGATTCATTGCTATACACTTATCATGTTGACATAAAAGATCTAAAAAATACTGTAAAACAAGAAATGCTACTTTTAAGGATAAACATATTTTTATTACAATTTTTAATAGTTCTTTTATTGATTTCAGAAATATCAAAACCTTTGTAAACAGAACCACGTGACTTTGTCTTTATTTTAATATTCAGCAGGTATGATTTTAGGTCTGTCGTGGTACAATCAGCAAACAATTAAAAAAAATTGTCCACCTTAATGGAATGAACATTTAACATGCAATGTACCATACCTGATGTGACCAGTGTGAATAGGCACTTAATGCCAGAAACAGTCAAGTCTGGCTACAAGAGTTTAGCTACAGTGAGGATAACACATGTCTGCTGACCAGGACTAGGAGCAAGAAAGGCATCAGGGAACCTTCTAGATTTGCATTCTGCTTTTCACAGTTGGTTTAAATCTAAAATCACATGGTATATGGCAACGGTTACATAGTTGGTAAGGTTGAATAAAGACACCAGTCCATCCAGTTCATTCTGTGTTTGTGTGTAATTTTGTCATTATAATTTCCCAAATCTCTGTATATTGTGTTTGCTAAGATGCCCATTTTAAAGTTATTTGAAAATACAAACATTGCTTGCTTACACCACCAACTGTGAAAGGGAATTCCACATCCTTTCCACTCTAACAGTAAAGTACCCCTTACTCAGTTTAGGATTACACTTCTTCTTACTAACTTCATTGATTGGCCTCAATATAGCTGGTGAAACCTACATGCATCGCTGTTCTAAGTGTCTTAGATTATCGATCCAGTGATCCACTGAAAAGGGGGTGCAGGTATCCCAGAATGCTTCATCTAGTGAGTAAGATAACCATGTGAGATATAGATGCTGCACACAAACAGCTCAGTGTGTAGAGGTGAATGAAAATGGCCTCAGCTCCTCCTTGATCCCCCAGCACATTTCGTCCCTTCCCCGGGACTTCATCATACAGCTCTATGATTAAGTCCCAGGAGCATGGCAAAATGCATCAGCCGGTGAGGATCTGAGGCTGAGGCCATTTAAATTCACCCCTACACACCTATCTGACAGTGTGCAGCATCCTCATTGAGTAGCCGCGTGTCTTAAAAAGTGACCTAAGACTGAATAGTTTCTTCCCTATGCTAAAATTATTATTTATATATTTGTAAATTGTAATCATGTCTCCTCTTAAGCATTTCTTATCCAGGGAGAAAAAACTTAAAGTGGTTGTAAAGACTTAAGGTTTTTTACCTTCATGCATTCTATGCATGAAGGCAAAAAACCTTCTGTGTTCAGCAGTGCCCCCAGCCCCCTCACTACTTACCTAAGCCTCATCACAATCCAGCGATGTGAACAACTGCCTCAGCTGTCCTGGGTCTCTGTCTCCTCATTGGCTGAGACAGCAGGCGCGAGCCATTGACTCTCACTGCTGTCAATCACAGCCAGTCAGCCAATGAGGAGATAGAGGGGGCAGGGCCAAGCCACGGCTCCATGTGTGAATTGCACAAGGAGCAGCGGGTACCCCCATAGCAAGCTGCTGTGGGGGCAACCGACAGGAGGGAGGGTTCCAGGAAAACCTGTGGGGGACCCGAGAAGAGGGGGATCCAGGCTGCTCTGTGCAAAACCACTGCACACAGCAGGCAAGTATAAACGTGTTTCTTTTTTTCCAAAAAAAAAATTAATCTTTAGAATCGTTTTAATGGTTGTAGTCTCTCCTTATAACTGAGGTCCTCCAGTCCCTTCATTAGCTTTGCTAGCCTTTCTCTGGACTTTCAGTTCAAGTACATCCTTCCTGAGGATTGGTGACCAGAACGGATCAGTATACACAACATGTGGTAGAACAAGGGTTTTGTACAGTGATACAATTACAGTTTTATCTTTTGAGTAGATTCCATTTTTAATGCATGCTAATAGTTTGGTGGCCTTGATTCTGCAGGTTGGGCTTAGCTAAACATATGCAGGGTCTGCCTGCCTCTAAAAGTTAGTGGTCTGTTTCTTCAGGAATTACATCCCTGTCCAGGTTATGGACTGTTGTCCTCCTTCTATCAGGTCAGAGGTTGCTGTGCAGCATTAGGGTTAACATCAGTAGGGTGAGGAACATCTTTTTATCAATGATGCTTTGAGATTGGCAAATTCTGTATCACCCTGACCGTTTGCTCTTTTTAGTATTATTACTTTGCAGGACATCACTGCAATACCAGAGTGACAATACCACACTTTATGATTGAAATATTGTAATTTTAATGTGCATCCTTCTGGTGGCACACATTGAACAAATTGGTACATAGTTATTTATTTTTCTTTATTTTTTGTATTAATTTTGTTATTGTCCACTAAGACCTAAGTACCTTATTTGATTCATGTCATGTATAACATATTTTTGGAATGACATTAAAATATCCCCTTCCTTATCCTTATTTGCACTTCTCTACTGAATAAGCATTACGACATTTCAAAAATAACAAGGGATATAAATATCATTATAGCATACAAAGGGTTACCAATACGCAAATATATATATATATATATATATATATATATATATATATATATATTTATTCATTATATTTATATATATATATATACGTATTGGTAACCCTTTGTATGCTTTAATGCTAATTTGGTATACACATTTATATATACAGTTATACTGTGTTTGTGTATATATATATATATATATATATATATATATATATATATATATATGAAATTATACTACTCCATGATAGAGTGATGCATTACAATTCTTGACATACTATAAATGTCTGCTGCTTACCTTTGAAAATCCAGACTAACATAAAAGAATAATAATAATGATTCTGCTTTGATATACTAGATATGCTATAAGTGTTTCCCCAAACCTCATAAAACCATCTTACCCATGGGTGTCCCAATTCCATAACCCTTTGAATCTATGAGTCCTCCAATCTGAGTCAGATTGCAGTTCCTCTGAGTTATATATTCAATAGCTGTTGATTCCATTAGCAGAGCGTAGTCAGATGAGAGAACTCGCTGGATGCCTTCCTCGTTACTCTTAACGAGCGATGATGGCTTGCTGCTCATGAACGCCCACATCTTCTCAAAGGTCGAGATGTGAGATTTCTGGAATGTAAACAAACAAGAATGTGGTGTTGGGATTCATACTGTGTATCAGACGAGCATGCTTCATCTTTCAAAAGAAAAAAAGATAAAAAGAGTAAATTAGCACAAACCATTATAAAATTCACTTTTTTCCCCAACTGTGACTCCCCTAGGGCATTTAGAAATGGAGAAAGAAAATTGATGACTAACAATGATAGCACAGCTAGCCCTAAGTGCCTATGTTAAGAAGCCTTAATACTCCAGATGCTTGATCATTAGGACTTGTATATATTTAAAGCCCACATTATAACATGCTTCTTTTTTAAGTATTAGCCTCAAAATATATAGCTATCTAAACTCCTAAATTACTGATAAGCAAATATATTTAATAGATGCAACAATATAAATAAAGCAGTGTCATTGAAATATATGAAGGTGTTTTATCTCTGTTATAACAGTGAGCTTTGAAATGCATACAAAAATTCAACAGGTGCTTACTGCTTGGAATAAAATCTATTGGCTACCCTTCACTGCTGTGCATTGTGACAAGCTGTGCTCCACTACTTGTGTACGCTAATGATGTTATAATCACAGTGATTACTGCTCATCTGTATGTAGATTTCACCTGATTTACCTGAAGGTAGTAGAACATGGGATACAAATGTCATCGACGCCCACAGTGGTATGCACCTAGTAGCTCAGCAACATGTTCTACTAATCTGATAAAGGCATCTTCTTAATGAAGGCTCAATATTGACATTGCACCTATGTTCCCACTATTGAATTTATCCCAGCTATAAAATTCAAAGCTCAAATGAACCTGGATTGTCTGATTGCCAACACCAGTTAGATGACTAGGCAATGAACCTGGAATTACCAGGCTAAAAAAAAAAATTCATATATTTCCAGGTATTTTCGTGAAAACAGTTCAGTCATTTCTGTGTCCAGTTTTGAAATCTCAGAGCAGACCCCCACTTGTAAACATATTTTAATTACATGTTTTTCACAGACTATAAATAAAGTCCCTTCTACAAGCTGGCAAAACACAGAGTTGGGAAATTTGATTCACGCTTCTAATCAATTGGTCCTCCCACTCAGGTCCAGACTGGGACAAAAAATAGGCCCTGGCATTTTAGACTGAGCATCCCTGAGCCCGGGGCCCTTGCTTTGGAGACTGGGCCAGAATGCCAAGGCCTGGTCCCAAGTGCAACGTTTGTGACCATGGTAGTTATCTACTGTGTCACTAGTGTCAGTATTTTCTATTTGTATTTGTTTTTTTTTTACCGTTTTATTTAGTTTGTTTTTTTATATTTTTACAATTTTATTTTTACATTTTTTAACCCCGTTTGTGGGGCTTTGGTGAGATATTAGGGGTCTAAACAAACCCCTGGCATCTCACCTTTGAGACGGAGAAAAAAGATTGAGGACATAGCCCTCAATTTCCATCTCTGCAGCCTCAGCAGCACAGAATAAACGGACAGGAAAAGCTCTGTACAGAGCTTCCTGTTCATTCATAAAACTGAAGCATAGTTTACAGTTTTGAATGGACAAAGTCAGTGATTGGTACAGATTACAGATTGCCCATTCAGACAAGGAAGAGGCTTGTAAAAGACATATTTACCTGCCCCTTCCCCACTTTCCAACCTAACAGACCCCCCGCGGGGGGGGGGGGGGGGGGGCGGGAGAGAGCACACAAGGGCCTGAAGAGAGCATAGGGGGACTAGGAGAGGAGACAGGAACCCGGGCGCACCAGAAAGAAGATAAATAGGAGGGGGCAGGGCACCATATAGAGGAACCAACCCCTGCATCTCTCTCATGCAGTCGCTGAATGCCTGCAGAAGGGAAAGGAGGAGAAGCCAGGCATTTAGCGGTGGCAGGAGGCAAATGGATGAAACATTTCCTGTATATGCTGCCTCCACCATCCCTCTTAGCCAGCCATTTCCTGTGAGGACATGCAGCCCGGCGGCCCTGGCTCACTGGGTGAATGTCCGGCATGCATCTCACTAAATTGATGCATTTGGTCATAAAGGATCTACATAATTTTACAGACATTGCAAAAAGACAGACCTATGCTGGCTGGCCACTTAACTAAAAATGTTGAGCATTAGTGTTGGGCTATAAGTTTGAGTCGAATGTTAGTTTGACTCAAACATCGGCCATTCATTTGTTCAGCAAACACACAAACAGTAAGGGCGTTTGGCAGGCTGTTCACCCACTGTACCCCACCCTAACGGTGCATTGTGATTGGCCAAAATCAAAGCACATGATGATGTCACAAAGGGGCAGGTGTGACCCCGCCCCCTTGTGACATTATCACACTATTATGTAAGAACTGTCATCCTGGTGCAGCTGTCAAATGGCGGGAACCAGCATTGAGAGTGGAGCATTTTTTTTTTCCAGGTCGACGGTGGCAGGGGGCATTGTGATTGACGTTGGATCTACTTCGGGGGGAAATTTTTTTTATTTTTGTTTTTAATAAAGGACTTGTCAAAGATTGTCTCCTGTCATTTTTCTGCTACACTTTTTTTTTGTGAATGGATAGCGGTACCATGTACCCCATACTCATTCACATGGGAGGAGCGGGATCTGGAGACTCCCTTGTTAAAAGGAGCTTCCAGATTTCGATAAGTCTTCTGCCCACTGACCCCCACAACCACTGGCCATGGTTGTGGGGAAAAGGCCCTTGTCCCTATCAACATGGGGGACAAGGTGCTTTGGGGGGAGCCCCCCTGCCCCAAAGCACCCCCCATGTTGAGGGCATGTGGCTTGGTATGGTTCAGAAGGGGAGGCGCTCACTCATCTCCCTCTTTCCTGATCTGCTAGGCTGCATGCTCGGATAAGGATCTGGTATGGAATTTGGGGGGGACCCTCACGCCATTTAAAAAAAAACCTTTTAATTGCTGAGCAATGCTGGCAATTCTTTTTACATTCAGCTGTCAGCGGGGAGCCCTGCTAATAGCTGAAACATTAAGGAATGTTTTTAGTATAAATATAAATAAACAGCGCAAATTTAGATAATTAATCAATATAATAAATCATATAAAATAGGTGCATAAATTATTCGTGTTTACCCTTAATCTTAAACAAAAACACCCAAAAGTCCATGTGCTGAAAACATAATTAAACTGTAGAAATAAAAGTGCCAACTTCTTTTCTTCAGAAAATACTTTCACCTTCCACCAGTGCACAAACCAACATCGAATACACTCACCAGAACTTGGTGAGTAAAGGACCTTTAAGGAATTTTTAGGGATCCTAAACCCTCTTTGGTGCCACGCTAGGGAAAATCTTCACCCTCCGAATAGACTCCACCATCTGTGGGAAGCAAGGGAGCCAGTTTGAGAAGCCGCAGTGTTAAGTCCCGGTGACCGGGGTGTTGTTCTCCCTCCCTGCCTCGGGAAGCAGGTAAAGTCACTTTACCTGCTTCCCGAGGCAGGGAGGGAGAACAACACCCCGGTCACCGGGACTTAACACTGCGGCTTCTCAAACTGGCTCCCTTGCTTCCCACAGATGGTGGAGTCTATTCGGAGGGTGAAGATTTTCCCTAGCGTGGCACCAAAGAGGGTTTAGGATCCCTAAAAATTCCTTAAAGGTCCTTTACTCACCAAGTTCTGGTGAGTGTATTCGATGTTGGTTTGTGCACTGGTGGAAGGTGAAAGTATTTTCTGAAGAAAAGAAGTTGGCACTTTTATTTCTACAATTTAATTATGTTTTCAGCACATGGACTTTTGGGTGTTTTTGTTTAAGATTAAGGGTAAACACGAATAATTTATGCACCTATTTTATATGATTTATTATATTGATTAATTATCTAAATTTGCGCTGTTTATTTATATTTATATTGTTTGTGTTTTCACGATTGGCACAGCAGCATTTTTAGAGTGTTATTTGGAAAGTTTTGGCGCAGGAATAAGTTTTCTTGTATAAAAAAATGTTTTTAGTAGCTGTGCAATATCTTACTGCATACTCACATGTGAATTGTCTTCTCTGTTCAACTACGAACAGAACAGGGGGGGTGTTCAACCCATCACTACTGAGCATACTACCCTTTCATAACTTCATTACTGGTGAAGTTAAAGCGGAGCTGCAACCAAAAGGGGAAGTTCTGCTTTAAGCTTTTGTCCCCTGCTCCCCATTAAGGATTGGTACCTTTGGGGAGCGGGTACCGAATTTGACAGGTATCTGCTCCCACTTCCACTGTGATTGCCTTGTCCTTCCCCCCTCCCTCCCCGAAGTCTTCTGGGACACGTGACAGGTCCCAGAAGACTATGGGGCCATTCACAAAGTTCAGCGCTTCTTGTGCATGCGCAGTGGGCACCTGGCTGTGAAGCCGCAAACTGTCACAGCCAGATGCCCACACTGAAGATGCCGGTGCCAGGGAAAGAAGATGGTTGGTGAAACCAGTGGTGGTGAGAATACCTGCTAATAGCTGGACCAAGGGACAGGTAAGTGGCTGTATTTTTAAAGTCAGCAGTTTTTGTAGCTGCTGACTTTTATTTTATTTTTTTCAGGTGGAACTCCACTTTAAGTCGTGTGCCTTGTATTGGTGATTTTGACAATAATAGCTAATGAATTAGCCACTTTATTTGCTATTTATATAAAGCATTGGCATATTACATAGTATACATTATGCATTTTTGTGAAGTATAAAATACATATTTAACATTCACACTATCCCTGTCCAAGTGGAGCTTGAAATCTAATTTCCCTAGCACAGTTACTTAAAATGTATTATGTTGTCAGTTTAGGCAGCAGCTTATTGAGCTTCCTGTATTTTTTTCAGTTGCTTTAAGAAACTGGAGTACCCGGAGAAAACCCAAACAAACACAAGCAGAACATACTGTACATACAGATAATCTATTCATTCATGTTTCAAGGCAATAGGGGGGAGACTGTACTATCATGCTGGGCAACCTTTTGTTCTTCAAGAGTGGTTAGAAGTTCTAAGTATCACCTTTATTTACAAACTGAAACCAGAACAAGTCAGCTTACTGCTAAGAAAATTACAGTTAAAAATTAAC